AAATACCCTAAAATGTGAATTTACTGTTGCAGCTTCACAATTTTGTACAGAACAATTTCACAAGTTCAAGAATGGCTCTCGTAGGAATAGGTATGTATGTTCCTGAATGAACACTGCAGGTCATATGGGAGAACTGCAGGAGAAATTGGAGTTCTCTGTAGAAGTAAACTGTTCCCATAGGCTTCACTTTTATTTAACTGCTGTAGCTTTTCAATGTCATTGCATTACTTGGAGTAACTGCTGTATTGCAGGTATAAAGCACTCTACCTTAAAGCAAGTTGCAGAGCAATTCCTAAATATCCGAAGTGGATCTGGTTCTCCTGGTGCAAAGGCTGTTTATAGAGGGGGTAAGGATGTATCTATTGTATCTATTCTGAGTGACTGATTATCTGTTTATAAATGTGGTAGTATTCAAAGTTACAACTGAAAACTATATAGTTGCACTAAATGCTGGGCATTGGAAGTGACAGTTCAGATGCATATTCCATTTAAATAAGCTGAAGATTCCACCATGGAAGATTCTGAGATAAAACTAAACCCAGCTCTTCAACAAAGTTTTACCTGAGACATCATTTTTTCTATAAAGTGAAAAACAAGCTGCCAAATGGTTTCTCTTAGCAGTTTTGGTAAGATTCCTGTATGAGTAGGATAAGGGCTGTCAGGAAGTGAAGGTAGGATTTCTATTTAGGGAAGATGTGTTAAATATTGTAAATCAAAGCAATGCTTAGCTCTTTCAGAGCAGTGTCTTGTACCATTACCAACAGCTATTGTTTAGTTGGAGAATTAGATATCTGTCTCTGTAAAGACATGAAGGGGAAGACGAAAGTTTCCAGCATTTCATATTTGACTGGAACAGAAGGTACTCTATTTTCTGGGTATTTGTTATGTGGAGACTTTTGAGTTTTATCATCCCACACTGTGGATGGTTTAGGGTCAGGTTCAAATAAGGCATACTAACGTAATGGGTTTTGTGCTAGCAAGAAAAAATTTTAATGTAAAGGACTTTTTAAAATTACCCTCAGCCTCATACTCCCTTCCTAAGGGGACAGGCAGTAACTTCAGGCCTTGCTCTTCTCTTGTTAAAGGGAAATGTTTCTTTTCCATGCCTGTGAATGTACAGTAGTTTCTAATTGAACACTGTATTACCTTTTTTCTGTTGTATTTCTAGGAGAAATCAGGAAACAGACTGGTGATAGCCTTGTCCATGCTGCTATTGTAGCAGAAGGAGCTATTGTTGGGAGCCCAGAAGCAAATGCCTTCAGTGTTCTTCAGTATGTTTTAGGTGCTGGGCCCCTTGTCAAGAGGGGAAGCAGTGTTACCAGCAAATTGGCCCAGGGTGTTGCTAAAGCAACCAGCCAGCCATTTGATGTAAGTTCAAAGGATTACTGTATTCTGATTTTTAAGTAAAATGTGTATTATCTTTGAGAGGTAACTACCTTCAGCTAGAATCTTAATTGGTTCGTCTTGCACACATTACAGTATATCAGGGAAGGGCTTCCAGTCTGATCTTTTCTCAGCACAGATGGAGTTTAGCTTCTTGAATTACAGTATTGTAGACCCTAATAGTAATTATTTTCCAATGCTTGATGCTGAATTACAGTGATACTTAAAACAGTTAATGATAATGTTTGTTTTGCAGGTTTCTGCGTTTAATGTTAATTACTCTGATTCTGGGCTCTTTGGGATTTATACTATATCCCAGGCTCCAAATGCTAGGGAGGTGAGTTGCTGATTATAATTTAAGCATTAACAACATAGTCTTCAAAGTAGTGTTTTGATTTGAGATAGTGACTGATTCATCTTATTTAAAAAAAAAAAAAGGAAATATATATGATTTACTATATAAGAATGCTGCAAATTCAATTATGACTTATCTCTGTAAGCTGGGAATGAGACTTGCTTTGTGGGAAGGACAGATACATAATATGAACTTAAGTTAATAAAATGCCTTGAATTGCTGACTGTAATTGCTGATATACATTTGTAAGCCAAAGTATGTAATGAAGAACATTCTGTCTCTTGAAGCTGGCAGAACTGAGCACTTACATGAAAAATGGTGAGACTGTATAAATTAATGCTGTAGTGCAGTTAAAATCCACCCTGGTTTTTGTGCATTTTTGGGCATACATTACAGTGTTTTTAGTTTTTTTATAAAACTGCTCAGAATTGTGTTCAGGCAGACAATCCTTACATTGTCAGCTGCTCTTCCCTTGAAGTTTCCAAGATATCAGATAATAGAAGTAACATGTTGAAATTTGATGTGGGAAGAAATCTTAAATGATTTAATTTTCCCCAGGTCATTAAAGCTGCTTTGAACCAGGTAAAGGCAGTTGCTCAGGGCGGTGTCACCGATGCTGATGTCACAACAGCAAAGTAAGTGTGTAAAGAATTCTCATGTGTGTAAAGGGAATTTTCTTAACACACAGCTACTTGTGAAACATGCAGACTATTCTGTACAGCAGAGCTTGTCCTGTAATTATTTCCATGGGGCACTACTCACAGTCCTGCATTAAAACTGAGCCCCTGTCAATATTCTTTTTGAAAGCTGTACTGATTCTCCAGTAGTGTCATTTCCTAATAAAAACTAGTAAGAGAAGCGTTAATATTTTCTGAAGACTGTTTCAATGTAAGAAATGAGCAAGTGTCAGCATGCTGTCATTTTCATCATACTCTGTAGTGTTAAGATGTATTTGAATTAGAATCCTAAACTGCATTATTTAGGTAATTCCCTTTACAGTTACACTGAGCAATTCCCAAAACAATTATAATAAGCAATCTGTGCCATCTTCAAAGAAAAAGAGTAATGAGGGTCTGCAAGTGTAAAGCACTGAATTAGTGATGGTACACCAAGTGCTGGAAATAAATGCCCCTAGGAATATTTGGGGGAGGGGGTCTCCAAGTAGTGCTAAACTGCATTGAGCTTTTAAAGCTGCAGTTGTACAAAAAAACAACATAGTACAGACTCAAGTAGCAAAATGAAATATTGTCTGTTGCATGTATAAAATAAAAGACTCCATGTACAGCATAGTTACACAAAATACAACAGCCTAGACAGGATTGGTTCTGCCTTAGTCACTAGTAGCTAAATGGTGGATTCTGGACTTCTTATACTGGGCATTATTTGTTTTGTGTGTTGTGGGTTCTGTGGGTTTTTTTGTTCTTTTTTAACAAAGCTGCCTAGCATTAGGGAGTTACATGCAGTGCTGCTGTGGCTAGTTTTCTTTTTTTCTGGAGTTCCCTTTCTGGAATGGCTTCATACATTTCCTATATTCCTCTTTATCCTTTATTGACAAAAAAAAAAAAAAAAACCAACCAAAAAACCCAGACTCAGTCAGTTCTATTTGCAGAGTCTGGCAAGTCAATCAGAAGTATCAAGCTACTTCATAATGAGCTATTGGAATAAATAATTTTCTATCTTTTTGTCTTCACAATAGAAGGACTGGCTTACACAAATAAGGTTTTCATATGTAGCAGTGATTCTGCACAAAACACAAGAACCAAACTCTTTTAACAAAACATGGAACTATTACAGGAGGAGCCTGGGCATTTACATTCACTGCTTGTCACTTAGGACAAAATTGCTCTGCACGCATCTGTTCCTGATGAGAAGATTAGATTTAAACAATAGTTTGTCTAACTGCATTAGTTACCTCAAATGGAAACAAATCCTGAGCTAGAGATCTTCTGACTGTGTGGGGAGACAGTAGGTGTTAAAGTACCTGTCATTTTCATGCTTGGACTGTTTGTGGTGCCTCTTTCCTAACCACAGAATGCTTCCCTATTAGAAAAGGGAAACCTTTCAAAATGGAATCTTGAAGTTTAAAAGGACCAAAACCTCATTGTATTTATGGGGTGGTAGGGAAGGTAATAGCAGGGCTTACAAGCTTGCTCATTCTTGATGCTTTCTTTGATGGTAGAAATCAGCTGAAAGCCAACTATTTGATGTCAGTGGAGACCTCAAAAGGGTTGCTGAATGAAATTGGCTCTGAGTCCCTGGTTTCTGGCACTCACACATCCCCATCTGCTGCTGCTCAAAAAATCGACTCTGTAGCCACTGCTGATGTTGTGAATGTAAGTATGTGTCAGCATCCACAGGTGTTCCTTAATCACTGTGTCAGGTTTTTTATGGAAAACTGATGCTCATTTCTGTGTGTTTATAAACACACACATATTCTGTCTTTAAAAATAGAAAAGGCAGCTCATTTACAAATCCCAGCTGGGTATCTTTTGATGTCTTTACTTACTTTATTAACAGCAGACTCTTTAATACACTGTAAAACTAGTGTAGCTGGGAATTATGTAAAATTCTCATCTTCTTCACTGAAATTTACCAAAACTGCCAACTAATAGTCATGGAAAACTTCATGTTAGTTCCAGGTCAGGTGATTCTGTGTCAAGGTTTTTAGGATTCCTGAGTCTAGAATAATGGGTGTTTAATAAAACAATTAAGCTTTCAGTGATAAATTGATGTAACTTTGTTGCTGCTGCACATTATCTTGTTGCTTATACGTGAAGGTAATTTCTAAAAATCTTATCATAAAGAAAAATTCTGAGATCTAAAATTTGTTTTTTCACAGTCATTGCTTATTTGTATTGCAGCAACTAGCAATAGCTTTAGTAGTAATGAGATACACTGTATTTTATGGTGTAATAATTATTCTAGGAATAACCATTTTTAGAGTTCATGCCTTTTATATCCAAGTGTATCTGCCATTTCCATTCACATTATCAAGTAATGAGCAGCTGCATTAGAAGCAATTAGATTTATAGAGCAAAAGGAGGATTGTTTACATGATGGTCTATTATAGTAGTGCCAAGATTTGTTCTTTGTTTTAGTAACTTGAAGCTGATGCTATGAGTAGCATCAACTCTGTTGTAGTGAATATTTCCTCATGCCCACTTTGCTGATTTATTTTCAGGCTGCAAAGAAGTTCCTCAGTGGGAAGAAATCAATGGCAGCTTCTGGGGATTTGGGAAATACTCCTTTTCTTGATGAGTTGTAAAAACAAATCTGGGATGGATTTGATTCAAGATGGACCTGAGCTCTAAGTCACTTATGTTCTAAATGAATTACTACTAACTTGTTATTTATGAATTCAGTTCTTTCAGAAAGTTAATCTGGAGTAATTGTGGGCTTGCACTCATCAAATAAAGTGCTGAGTTCATACATTTTGTGTAGAAGTTTTTTTCACTGCAAATGGTATATAAAAGGCTGATAAATCTGGCTCTGTACAGTGGAGGTAAAAACCACAGTGCAAAAACAAGATGAGTTTTGGTCCATGTAAAAAATGTAATTATGTAAAAAATTATCACCACAATGAAGGCAAATGCAGTAATTACCACTGGTTACCCATATATTCTTGTATATTCAGGAAGAGTTCTTGATACATTGTCTACCATCCTTACATGAATTTAGTAGGAGACTTGCCTTCAAACAAAGCTTGCAGTTCCTACTTGTCTGGGACTAGCAGAGGTTTTGTTTCTCCGTGACTTCTTCACAAGTAGCACTGGAAGAAATCTTTGAGGGGATTAGCCATATATAGCTAATACATAATTTGAAATCTCATAGGACATAAATTTTTTGAAGTCTAGGCATATATTAAAAGCAAACAGATACAATACATCATAAGAAATGGAGGGTTTGAAGAAGCCAAGTTCTGAGCTGTTCTGAAGCAGAGCCAAGTCTTACAGACAGGATGCATGTGATACAGAAGGGCAGGAGCAAGAGGTCTCAGCATGAAGGAGGTCAAACACCACTGGCCTGGAACGTAGGATTGCACAATGCACCAGCAGCATTGTGGAGTGCAGCATCACACTGTGCCTACTCAAGTGTCTGGCCTGTATCAGATATTTGCCAAATTCTGGATATTGCTGGTAACATGAGTGAACTCACCACAGTAACTGTGAAGATTTATACTGAAAAGCATCCAAGTCTATATCACCATCACTACTGGACCCAGTGTCATCTTCATCCTCAGTGTTTTCACTCATACTGCAAAGACACAACATGCAGTAATTCCCATAGGCATTTAGTTAGCTATTTATGGGATCTGAATTTTTTTTTCAAATGCTTGTTCTAAAGACAGGTTCTTCAATTCTGAAGCTCCACTAGTATCAAACATTCTATTGTCCATTGTCCCTTGTATACTCTTTCCTTTGGTCTTTCTCTTTGCTCAGTCAACAGAAAAGCAAGCTCTTCTTTTCCTGCTCTTTCAGCATCGTAAATTATTTGTTTAAACATAAAGGTTTAATATTTTGGAAAGCCCCTTGCTGTGTGAGCTTCCTTTCTGCTGTTCTAGCCTAATTATCTCATTTTAATACTTGTGTTCCTTCACCTACCTCTGAGGTTTATTTCTGTTAAAACTCTGTGCCTCAGGAAAACTTGGAACTGCCTCATAACCTATCTAGATTAATTCTACTGCCCGTATGGACCCCCCCTTACCACTGAGAGCCAGATATTCTTAAAAGCTGTTTGCCATGGCTCTCATGAAAAGTGCTTTTTTTTTCCCTGTTTAATTTTAAAAGTCCTAATCTTTAATCACTGTTGGGAGTTCAACTGATTAAGAAACAAATAAGCTTTGTACAAGATTGTAGCAAGAGCTCCATCTTGGTATCATCAGCTGATTGTGTCTTGATGTGTTTTTCACACTAATGTCCATTACAAATGGACATAGCCTCTGACTTCAGGGCTTTTATTGCCAGCCAGAATTTATGCTCACAGAGGAGGCAGGGAAGGACCTTACGAGGCATTGTCAGGAGCAGCCAGAGGTTAAGCAGGAGGTGCCCACAGGAGCTGAGGCATTCCAGCAGTAAACACCCAGTGAAGATTTTTATGGAGATAAAAATCCTTCTTACACCATTGAAGGTGTTTTGAGGAGACACAGGTATCACACAGCCCTGTTTCTTCTTGCTGTCATGGAGAATAGGACATGCATGCCTCCGTGCTAGTTTGGTGAGTAAATGCAGGATTTTAAGACATCAGTACCTCCCACTAGCTCTCTTAATTTTTGCCTCCTCCTAAAGTCAGCAGAGTGGCACCAGCTTGTTCACACTACAAGCAGTAATAAAACTGTTCCTTTGGGTTCCAGTTTGAAACTTTTCAGATTATACTCATCTTAATCAGATGAGGGAAAAAAAAGTCCATAAAGATAAAATCTAATTCACTGCATGAAAAGCTTCTAAGTAGTGCATTTGTGCATTGTACTTTTCTTAAGCCCCATACTCTGTGCATTGGTATTAATGCCAAAATTAGTGTGCTGCTTGTGTTGCCATTAAGAGATGGAGCTTCTACAAAATACTACATTTTTTGCAAAATTTTACAGCTTTGGTCCTAAACAAGTAAGTCCATCCTAAACATGAATTTAACACATTCAGCTGTTTGATGGGGTTTTTTCGCATGGGGCATGTGCTGAGTTAGATCCAGGCGCTCCATCAAGTATGCTCAACTTGTTTCTTTTGGTTCCAAAAACTAAGATCAGCTACAAAGGAACAATATTTGTTACAAGTCCTCAATCCACTTTACACCCTTCTGTACTTGCTGCAGTAAATCAAACACATCACGTGCTGTAAATAATTTGATTCCTTGTAGCCTTTATTGAAAACGCTTTTGAAGCTTGCCTTCTTCAAATTATTGCAAATAAAACCACTTATTTTCACTGATGCGTATTCTTAATATTCAATTATTAGTATTCTAATTATAGGTGGAGAAAAAAACCCAAAAAACCCATTAAACCCAAACAAACCAACAACCAAACCAGTATCATATTTATACTTCTGTATATCAAAGGGGTTTTTTCAGGGAATGGATGAATGCTATCACATCCTAAGAAAGTAATAATAAAAAAGTATTTCATTCAAATTTATGCTCCAGATTTTTCCACTGATTTTTATACTCAAATCAAAAGTGCAAAGCCTTTTTCCTAAGAAAAGGCTAAGAACTCCACTTGATGCATTTTATTTCATCAAGTAGATATTTCTTCCTGGTACTTGCAATTCTGAAGAAAGGACTGCCCAAACTATAAAGGCACTGCTAGGAAAATTGTTCTAATTTAAAGATATGCATTTTCACTGTACAGCCAGTAAATTTCTAAATTACTTCATTACGCTCCAGTCTTCACTTCATAGATTTCAATGTTAAGAGACAATTTCATGCTGGGAATTACCAAAGCACACTATCATCCCTGAACTGCAGTTCATGAGTTTAATGTAATTGGGCTGGGGACCCATGTGAAGCACTCACATTTACAGAGCTTTCAATTTCAAGTTTATTACAGGTGTCAGATGTTCCACAAGAAACCTTTAATAACTGGTAATAGTCTGCTAGTTCTGATACGGTTCATTTCAGGTTTAAAACATTTAGGAAATGAACACCTGTGTGGATTGTTAAAGCACAGAGATTAGTCTATTGCCACTTTGTAACTACTCTGTGTAATAAAGAGAAATAAAAAGCAAACAATAAGGCAAATTAATTTCAAGCCTTGTGAGGATTTGTGTTACTTGTAGAATGAAATTACTTGAACAATATTGCACTGAATAAAGAATGGTATTATTCAAGTCTAGTTGCTACGTAAAGGTAATAGTCAAAATATTTTTTGGAAAAAATCTGGTGAATAGGAAATCTGTTTTTGCTGGAGAACAATGTATAGGCTTAAATCTTGATCTGATTATGGAACAGTCACCACAGCAGCTATTTTAAGATCACAGGTATTTCATCACAGTGGAATGCTGGCACTGAGCTTTATACAGTTTGTGCTAGTTTCTTTTCTCTGTAATTTTGAACTGAGTTTCTTTTGATCTCTGTAAGTGTAAATAAATCAGAGACAGGCTCAAAGCATAAATGCAGAACAAGGATATCTTCAATGCAATTAAATTTTAATATCACTACTGGTTCTTTTTACCTGGTTTCAGCTTTCCATCATTAACTGCAGAGCTTTTTTCAAAAAGGCTTGTTATCTAGAGATATGGCCCACCTTGTACCATTGTGAGGGCTAATCCTTGTTCATCCATCCCAATCTCTGCCATCAATGCTGCAATCTGGGTGTGCTGAGAGAAGTTTTTCAGTGCTGTCAACAGCCCTTTGAAAAGTGAGAGGAAAACTTTACTAGCTGAAAGTGTGATATCATTCTTCAATAAAAGGTTTAAGGAGACATTTGAGAAGGTGCTGTCTCCATTCTTAAGTATCCAAACAGTTAAGCCTCTCATCCTTAGTTACTTCCTTAGGCTGGCATTGTGTGCTGTTGCTGCCAAAAGACTACATAAGCTTGCTTTCTGCAAATAAATACACAGAAAGTAGTTTTTACTTAGAAACTTATTTCTCTAAAAGTCACACATTTTGCCAAGAGAAGGAGCAACAGTGCTGTTACTTAAGTATTCATTACTAGCAGCTATATATTCGGGGAAGGTAGGGAACAGGGCACAAAATAACAGAACAGAGGAGTTTCCAGCTACTAAGGACTTCAAGAAAATACAGCATGCCTATAGCAAATGGATTCTTTCAAATCACTATTTCTTCCATGCACCAATTTTTTCTGGTTTAGAGGGAATAATTTCAGCTATTTTTCATCAAAAGCCTTACAATTTTCTCCACCCTTAAGAAAATTTGTCAAGTATAGGCGATTTCTATGGGAGTTAAGTACAGGGCTTGTCCTCCAAATAACAAATCCTACTGATTGCTGTTGAACACTTTAAGATTACTGATATCTCCATTTTGTTTGTACAGTCTGCCATCTACGTAAAATACTTACATAAAAATAAACAGCACAGGCAGTCGCCCCCTTGGCTTCCCAGTGTGTTCCACATAGACCAGTTGTGCTGCTCTGGAAAAAACAGGTGGGTGTTCACTGTTGGAAGGAGAAAAATGGAAACTATTAGATATTTTCCAAGTACCTGTAGATGTGGGGGCTGTTTGGTTCATTTACTTCAACATTCCCATACCAGAATGACAGTATCGAAGGCACAGAGCTATTGTGGCCAAACCGGGCTGGTTTCCCACGTTTGGTGCATTGTTCATTTTCTGGCTACGGATTCTCACAGTTCTGTATGGCTGAATCCACTGAAAAGCATGCCATCAGAAATGGCTGTATTTGGGTGAGATTTCCAGTCACAATTAATTAGATTTCCTTCCAAAGCCAGGGCACAGACACAACGCTGTGTAGCGCTTCTGAGGGGCTCCACAGCCGCCAAACCTCAGTCCCTCCACGTCCCCTGTTCCCATCAGTGCTGCAGAAGCAGCTCTGGAATTTCAGCTCATGCCCAGCCTTGCAAAGGATAAAGAGCAGGGACTCGAGAAACAGAAAACAGTTTTTTGTGGTGAACACAGACCTGTGATCGTTCCCCAGCTCTTGGTACTGACCAAGAGGCTCATCCTCGTTCCAAAACACCTCTGGGGACCGCGATGCATGAGGGTCGCGAAGGACCAGGATGCAGGCAAGTGTTGGGGCTCCCGGGCCCGGGGCAGGTGGGCACCAGGCCCGGCGGGGTCCCGGGCACCGCCCGCCCCTCACGGCAGCCCCGCCCTGGGCGCCGCCCGCCCCACCCTCGCCACGACAAGTCAGCCCCGCCCATCAGAGACAGGCCCCGCCCCTCTCTGCCCAGGGAAAGCCACCGCTGCCCCGGAGCTGCCCCGCCCCACCCGGCCCAGACCCCGCCCCCAGGAAGCCCCGCCCCGCCCGGGGCGCGCGCTGGGGAGAGCGGGTTCCCCTTCCGGAGCGGCCGCCGCCCCCCCGCCCGCCGGGTTCGCTTCCGGCGCCGTCCGGGGTCCGTTCCTGCCGCCGCCGCCGAGCGCGGCGCGGGGCCCATGGAGCCGCGGCCGTGAGGCGCCCCCGGCCCGGGCCCGCTGCGGGAGCCGGGCGGAGGCCGGAGCCGGGTGCCGCCGGAGCCGGAGGAGATGGACAAACTGACCATCATCTCAGGATGCCTCTTCCTGGCTGCCGACATCTTCGCCATCGCCAGCCTGGCGAACCCGGACTGGATCAACACCGGCGAGTCCGCGGGTGAGGGCGGCCGGCGGCGGGACCCGCCGGCGGCGTGCGGCAGCTGGCCGGGAGAGGGCTCCGGCGGCGCCCGGGGGGCTGTGGGCGGGCGGGGCGCGCGGCTGCCCTGAGGCGCCCCAGGGAGCCCAGCCTGGGGGCTGCGGCCGCGGGGCCGGAGAGCGGCTGGGCCGGCTCCCGGGGCCGCTTCCCCGGGACAGCTGGTGGGAGCCAGCCCCGGCAGAGCCCCCGGCGGTGCCTCCCGGCCGCCTCGGCGGAGCCCGGTCTCCTGAGGAGTCCTGCAGAGCCCCCAGCCCGCTCTCACTCCGGGAAGCTGAGGGCCAGGGCAGCATCCCTGCCTGTGCCTCCCAGGTGCCGTCACCTTGGACAGGGAATTGAGATCTGTCTCTGCTTACTTTGCGGCAGGTTTGGAGTCTTTCGTACTACACTGACGTTTCCTTTGTTGCTGGGAAGTTCTTGCTTCCCTACGTCTTTTTTTTTTTTCTCCCAGAATATTTCCTGCATGCTGATTTTTATCAGCTTTTAAGCCGAGATCCCATGTGGTTTTTATTTTAGAGTGTGGCATTGTTTACTTTAAAAGAACAAGGATTTGGGCATCTGTCTTTTTACTAATGATGTAATTGTCTATGGACAATTTCTTTCAGTCCGTTGATAAAGACCTGCATGTACTGATCAGTGGAGCAGGGAGAGAGAACAGGAGGAGGGCAGCTCTTTGATCTCATGTCCCAGAGGAACCCAAAGCTCCCTGTCAGGAAAGGAAGCCATCGTTACTGCAAACAGATTAAACTAACTTAAACCACTTTGACCAGTCACAGGAGCCGAGGGAGCAGCATGAAACTGTGTCAGGGAGGTTTAGGCTGGGTATCAGAGAGTGATCAGGCACTGACACCAGGCTCCCCAGGGCAGTGATCACAGCGTTACATCCCTGTGTGTTCAGGAAGTGTTTGGACAATGTTCTCAGGTACATTTCAGAGAGTGATCAGGCACTGACCAGGCTCCCCAGGGCAGTGATCACAGCATTACATCCCTGTGTGTTCAGGAAGTTTGGACAATGTTCTCAGGTACATGATGTGATTTTTGGGGCTGTCCTGTGCAGAAACGGGACTTGGACTTGATGATCCCTCTAGGTCCCTTTCAGCTCAGGAGATTCTGTGACTTTTCCTAAACTTATGATTTCCAAGCAAACCACAGGTTAGTACAGAGAAAACTGGTCTGGCTGTAAAGACTTTTGTCATAAATTCTTGCAGAGGGCTTGAAAATTTTTCTTCATCTGGCTTGCATCTTCCATGCCTAGTGTTCAATGCATGTGAACAGTTGAACTGATTCAAGTTGTGTCATATTTCCTTTATTCTAATGAAGTGGAGTATTAAAAACTATTTGGGATTGGTGACTGTACTCTGACCAGACTGTACTTATGGCTTATTTGATTTGCTTCTAATTACCTAGTCTAGAACCCAGACTTTTCTACATGGTTCAGAGGAAAGGAACGAGGTCCTTCCCAAAGTGCAGCCTTCAGGAACTCCCTGGGTGACTTCACCATTCCTCCTGTAGCTAATTGGGATGATTTTCCTGCCTATGGCTAGATAAAATAGCTGGTTCTTTCCTCTTATAATTCCACCTAACAGCAGTGCTGCGGTAATGAGCCCTTCTTCAGGGGCTTAAAGTCAAATAAAGTAGTATTAATTTCAAATATTTAAATATATCTTTCTGGAGTCCTGCCTCACGTTAGCAGATCTTGTGCAATGTGTAAGTTGTTGGATTCTCTCTGCATGCACAGAAAGGAGATAACAAAAACTATTCTGAAAAAGTGGTCATGGAAGAAACAGTCCTTTGGGAACTTAGCACAGTCCATTATATTATTTTGTAAAGAAAAATATTTTCTATCTATTTGTGACACAAAAATTGTGTCCTAAAATATTTTAAGCAGCAATCATTATTTCTTTACTTAGTGGATGATTCCATAAGAATCATCTGCCATTTCTGAGGTGCAACTAACAGTTTTAATTAGGCTGGCGAACATGAAATCTGGATTTTTCTGAGGGACTTCAGCAGTCAAAGAATGTTTTGACAGACCTAAGCCGGTTTTTTTTCTTTGCTCTATGTTGAAGCCAAACAAATTGTTGTCTTGATAAAACCATAAAGGAGAGCTAGCTGCCATCCTTAATGATTCTTTTGTAGTTTTTTATTGATAGAGGATTCAATGCAGTATTATAAGAGTTGTGCTTAAAGGCAATACAAATGTGTATTTCTGGTGCTTAGACCTCCTAAAATGAGCCATTTGCCCAAACTGTAAATAAAGGAAGTGTGGAGATGCCCATTGAACCAAGGACTTCCTGTAGTATTGAATTATGAGGTGAATGCTTTTATGAGTGCCATTCATTACCCAGAGGCTGCTGGGGAGAGATGTGGCACAGGAGGGCACAGCCCTGATGGTGAAACCTGTCCCAGCTGCTGGTGACATTCAGGGACTCTCAGCAGACTACTGTGCTTGGAGCACATCCAAGGCATCCAGCTTCCATATGTGCCACTAAGAAGCAGGGTTTTTTTGGAGCATCCTTCACTCAGCTGGTGAAAGGAACTATTTGGTAAAAGAAAATATTTCTTTGCTTTTTAGATTCATCTCCTGTGGGAATTATTCTAGATTCCGCTTCTACAAGTCAGCCTGGTACTGAGGAGAAAGGGGAGTAAGAGTATTTCTCTGCTTGGCTGCTGTCCTGGGGGTTCTGAAAGGCAGCGTGGAGCAGCCTGGTCTCCTCAATACTGCAGCTGTTAGAGGATGGCAGAGAGCAGAGGTCTTGGCAAACCTGGGAAGGCAGCCCTGCATTGGCTCATTCAGAGCTGTTTACAGCCACTGAGGTTGGGAACCTGGGCTTGTGTTTCAGGGGAAAAAAAATCTGATTTGAATGCTAAACAATATGTACCTCTTACTCCAGAGATAGTGATGAGTTTCAGCTGAATTGGATAGCAAAATAAATCACTGGCTTTAATGCTTCTCTGAAAAACGGAGATAGTTTTCAATATTTTTTTAATCAATACAGAAGGGCTGATTAGTCTCCTAAATCTTACTCTTAAAGATAAGTTTTATAGTAATTTGAAAAATGTTGGCTATAGAAATTTCTCCCCAGCAATTATCAGCACAGGATTGCAACTGAGATTATTGAAGGTCTCAGATGCTTATCTGTCCTTAGGCCAGAGGAACTACACCTTTGTGAACATGGGTCCTAGTCTCTGTTGGACACTTTTTCTTTATGTAATTTTGTTCATTAACTTGGTTTCAGATATTTCATACATCTTTAAGATGGTAAAGGAAAGATGAAAATTAAATGGATTTTTCTCACAGTGAGTTCTCTGTGAGGTTTTGTTATTCGTGCTGTGCAAGTACAGAGCACTGATAACTCCAATCTGGAAACCAGTGGCTGCTCAGTATTCTTGCACTGACTGCCTTTTCTTATCAAACTGACACTCTGTGAGAAATAAGGACAGAGTTGGCTTTAATTTCAGCCAATGCCTAAAGTGTCACTGATTTCAGTAGGAAGGAATTTTGCTCCTGTATCTCTACACTTCTGCAAAGAACTTTTTAAGCTGATAGTTTTGTCTCCATATGTTCCTTTTTTTTGTGTGGGAGGGTCTTTAATGATTTTGATATTTTGTCTTCAGTAGGGGAGGAAGGGGGTTAGAAGCAGCTCTAGCTTCAGCTCTCAACTCTTTTATAGGAAAAATGGTATGAATATTATGCACACTTGAAATTAGAGATGTTAAAAGCTGTACATGTGGGGGGATTGACAATTTGAAATGCTTTTATGGGGTTTAGGATAGGTCAAGTAATTCAAGGGAATAATTTAATCAAGTAAAATCTCCCTTCAGAAAGCTAAGCTATCAGTTTGTTTATGTGGCTTAGTCATCCCTTCCTGTGTAGCATGATTGTTCATTTGATTCCAATTTACAGAACAACGTGTACCCTTTTTATAGCAGTCATTAAGTTAACATGGATGTCAGGATTTAGGGGTGCTTAACTGATGGGTAACTCCTA